CCAGATGGCCGTCGTGAAAACTGCTGGTATAAAACCTTTTATATGTTAATTAGCGTGTTTAGAATGGCATTTTACCAAATAAGTCGCAATTCAGTTTTCTCCCATTGATTTATGACGAGAGGCCGCAAAATTGAACTGACTTGGTCACCGAAATGAGTAAAATCAAAGATATACGTTTTGGGTCCACGTCAAAACAGCTAGTGACTATTGAGCTAGTGACTTTTGAGCTAGTACAAAAGAGCTAGTGCTTCAAAACAGCTAGTGACAACACAGCTAGCGCCAAAATAGCTAGTAATGCAAAATAGCTAGTGCATTAAATCAGCTAGTGACTAAACAGCTAGCGTCAATATAGCTAGTAGAGCAAAATAGCTAGTGCTTCATTATAGCTAGACGCTATAGAAATCGCTAGCGTTGACTAATAGCTAATAAGCAAAATAGCTCATTCGTAGAGCAGCTATTATAGATTATTTCCCGACGAAGAGTCCCCACGGGTAGAAGGAGCAGAAGAGCACCGTAGTTTGACAAAATTATTTGGAATGCTAGGAGGGCAGAGGACGGGATCCCTAGGACAAACAACAAATTAGAAGCGGGGCACCGGGGAATTAAAGAGATGGCATATCGCGGGAAATACATCTTTACAGTCATAGATATCTTGCATTTTTGAAGCGAAGTGAATGGGAAGGGAACAGAGGTCCAACGAAATTGCTATTTTGACGATAGCTATTTCGTCACTAGCTGTCTTGAGGCACTAGCTCTTTATGCTTCACTAGCTACTTTGACGCTAGCTGTTTTGTCACTAGCTGTTTCTAAGCACTAGCTATTTTGCTTCACTAGCTATTTTGACGCTAGCTGTTTTGTCACTAGCTGTTTTGAGGCACTAGCTGTTTTGTACTAGTTCAAAAGTCACTAGCTCAAATGTCACTAGCTATTCTGATGTGCACCCTACGTTTTGTACATCCTGCCATTATAATAAATCGCAGAAAGCTTCAAGCCATTTAGTCAGTCAGATTAGCTCTGACGAGCATAAAAACTCTTATGAGGTTAGGTCACTTGACATGACATGGTGACCTGAACTTAAGAGACCAGGGTCTAAGACTTGCACATGTGTAGAAAAGATGAAACCGCATTGGGGCGTTCAATTTTTCGGCCCAGCGCAAGATAATGGATCATTATATGAATATTAACACAGCGCAAATGAATTCACTGTTTTGGCGACGTGTGTAAGGTTCCCGTTGTGATGCCGCCAGGTATTATGTTTTGGCACTCATTTTCAGCTAAACGATGGTCTGTTGAAAATAACCCTCAAACATAGTGGGAAACTTTGCATCAGAAGCACCAGTTCAGTCCGGACTAATCAATTAAAGAAGGACGACAAGCCATCTCACTGAGAAAGTTCCTCGGCTGTAAAAACATTTCGAGCGAAGGAACAAATTATTTCCGCCCAAACTACAACGAAACACCTTCGACCTTCGTGTGCCGATAGCTGTCCGGATAATTTTACGAATGAATTTACCTGAAGGTCCTACGAACTTTACTTTCGATATTTAGGGGAGACCCGGGAGGTATGGGCCCCCTGGAGGTATGGGCCATCGCAGTTTTGAAGAAGTGTTGCGTGTTTTTACACATCTGACCGTGTAAACTGGTAGCAGCCATTCTGTTATACATCCCACGTGATTTTCAAAATCTTCCTCAGTCTTCTTTGGCAATGAGCGGTGATAAAGCGTTTTTGCCCTCTTCGAGTAAAATACTGTACATACAGAAAATTCGTGATAAATTTGAACCAGGCTCGTTTTATGATGTCAGACCAATGCTAACATAAAGTTTAAAGCATGCAAATTAAGGCTGGATAGACAATTTGAAGCTTTCTTGCAAGATTATGAGCTGAGATGCTACGCAAATTCTGGCGTCCTAACCGGGAGGTTCGGGCCACCCACCCCCGTTGATCCTAAATCAATAAAAAGATGCTTTCATTGAGTGTCATCTTCAATAAATTTCATTTTTGTCGCGCAATGTTGAAAATTTAACTTGAAATTTCATTCGAACAGAAAAATATTATATATTTCATTTCATGGTGCATGATTGAGTTTACCAAAATACATATAGGCCCAAGTTACCTCCATGAAGTAAGCTGTTGACCGCTTATGCGGTTCCTGGGCTCTACGAGAGATCAAGGTAGATACCAGCTAAGAGTATTGTTCTCATTTTCGGGAAAATGATATGAAACATGGCACCGGCCCATACCTCCCGGACCATGGCCCATACCTCCCGGTGTATTTTGATGGATCGAAAAAGCGCATGATTTATTAAAAGTTATCTCGGGACAAAATAGTTGATCCCTGATGCCTAATATCAGGCACATTTTGCAGGCGAAAGGCAATTTCACGTGCACAGAGTGAAAAACCGGGTGTAACCACTGCCCACTGGAAGAAAATTGCCTTTTCACAAAACCGGCCCATACCTCCCGGGTCTCCCCTACTCTCTCTATAGCCCGCCAGACAGGCGAATTCGACTCGGCAATTAGTTGAAAAAAAAAAAACTTTGAAAAAAACAGTTGTTCAGAAATATTTGGCAGATACCCGTACCAAAAACAACTTTACTCTGAAAACGGCTATCCTGCAACATGACGGAGGTGTCGCTGACCGATTCAGCGACACCTTAGGTAGTTATTTTACGCATAGTTTTCAACGTCGATCCCTCAATGCAGTTTTGGAATAACAAAAATATACACTGTATGATTGTGATACTTTTATGCAATGATATGTATGAAATTTTGGCTCCATATCGCCTTGGGTCAGGTCATCTGGCTTACGATTACGCTTAGTGGCCCCGATATGAACGCAAAAAAATAACCGGTCCCGCTTACAAGTCATATGCAGGGAGAAAGCGATGATAAATAAGCCTTTAGCGACTCATTTAGTTGTAATTAAAACTGAACGGATCTATCTAGTGCCTATTTATATCCTATGAAATCTATAGAGTCTAGTCAATAATGAGTTAATGACCTATACCTAGATATTACCTATAAGCTACGATAGGTAGCCTGCGAGCGCGGCCGGGCCGCTCGTGCTAAAATTTTACAGATTTAGTTGGCATCTATTCACGCCACTTCCTTCCTCAAAAGTATATTCATTAGATATAAGAAATGCTTGGCATTAGCAATTTACTTCTTTCGTACGACGTTAAAACGGTTTATATCCGGGACCACGATGGAATTATCGGTAGCATAAGCAATTATGACATCTTAGTACGGTTATAAGCGCTTCCAGCCTTTGGCATGAAACCGCTGTGTGAAAGTTCCGTCCAATAGTTTCCAAAATTCCAGCACGGGTCTCCGCTCCTGCGACATCAGTTCCTATACCTGCATTACCAGTATCCTCGCCCGTATTACGGTTTCCCATGGCTGCAGTCCCGGTATCTCCGCCCGTATTACGGGTCCCCATGACTATGTTCTCGATATCCCCGCCCGTATTACGGGTCCCCATGGCTGTAGTCACTGTATCCCCACCTGTATTACGGATCTCATAACTGTATATGTATGTTGTCCCAAACCCTGTGCATCCAGCGCTGGGTAACCTCTCACCTGTCCTTATCCCAAGCCTCACTATCTCCCACAGTCTTTGACCTGCCTCTGTCCGTGGTGAGGGGACAGTTGTGAGGGGCCGCCGAGGCCGCCTGGTGTTCCGACTCGGTGGTCCGCTGCCCACTGCCGCCGTCGACACCGTCGGACCCCCGTCGGCACCGTCGGACCCCCGTCGGCACAGACGGCGCGCCGGCGTCGCGCAGCCCGCGCCCCCGGGTGTCTCCTGTGCGAGTAGCGTATACGCACCTGGCCGCGGCCTCGGGTGTCTCCTGTACGAGTAGTGTACGCACCTGTCTGATCGGCTGGCTCCGGCGGAGGTGGCCCTGCCCGTCCTGCCGCCGGACCGCGGAGCTAACTGCGCGACTGACTGCCGCCGACTGGACCGGACATGGTGCGTGTCACTTACCCTCCGATGACCCCTTTAGCAGGCCCTGACGTCATCGACAAAATGGCGGCGCTGCGCCTTGTACCACTGCAAATATATTAAAACAAACACGATTTTATTTCGTCTGTTTGATAATACTTCATCACACATTGCACTGAGCGTGCAGCCGGTGCAAAGCGTTGCAAAATGCGATAAGACAATTTCGTAATCTTTGCGCTCCCTCCACTTTTTATGGTGTTAAGGTAAGCAAACACTCTTCCAGTTGTGAGTCACTGTTATTAGAGAAACGCTTATAAATTGCTTCTTTTAATATCTAACGTATAGGTATATGGAGTACCGTCGGTACACATCTCGAACACAAAAATAGGTCGTCAGTTTCCGGCCATGGTTACTATTTGAGGAAGCTCTTTGATGCTAACTTCCGTTTAGCCATCATTAGCATAACAACGACTAAATACAGCTTTTTGTACAAGGCAGATCTGCCTCTTTCTCGTTAAATTATACAAAATGGGAAGGTCATGCATGATGTAGCCGAGTTCATCTCAGGTGACCCTTATAAAACATTTGAGATACACAAGTTGCAAGGATTTGGAAGCTTATATACTTCTTGAACGTCTTTTCTCTCTACGAATGAGTTCCTAGCAAAGAGAGCGTTGCGAAGTTGTGACATTTCCGGACCGTGCAGACACGCACTAATGACTTCGTAAGTTAGCGACCTGATTAATCCTATAAAAAAGATAAGAGAGATCAAAAGATTTGACTTGAGTCGGTGATGAGGCATGGTTATTTTGGTTCTCTATCTTAAGTTCGGAGCAATCGCAAAAACAGACTTCTCGGCCAAGGACGAGTTAATGAAGCCGAATCAAACAAAAGTTATACAGTGGGCGTAAAAACCGGGTTTGATGCGAAGCTAGTGTGCACCATGGCAAATATCAGTAAATAATAGCATGAATGGCTTCATTGAGTGTCGGTTCATTCATGTCAATGAATGAAAACATCGTGAAAATTAAAACAATTGCTGGGTCAACAAACAGATTCAACTCCCAATGTTCCGTTTTATTTATGGCATATGAGTACATGAATACACTTCTGTCGAGCACCACTAAAATTCTACATCTATATTTTCCAAACAAAAATAAGAGCCGCAGCTCGAGTGACCGCCTCTGCAGCTCGCGCTCCACTGCAGATGGTGACATCACTCTGCACCTTCCGTCGAGTTTCCGACCGGGGGAGCTCTATGGCACGTGGTGCGGTATGATAGGGGACGGGACCTTACTAGGAGGTACGGGTAAATACGATACGGTACGGGCTACGGTGTCTTACCAATGGATTTCGTTTTATACGGTACGGGACTGAACGCTGACGTACCTCACCTCATGATACAGCATGGTACGACATAGTACGGAGCGGTACTTCAATCGAGGCATGGTACGGTAACTGGACGCGCTGTATGTGTACCGAAAAGAGTAATTATACGGTACGGTATTTAAGCAATGGGGGCTCCCGGCCTATTACCATGACATACAGACAGTACTTGCATACCACGCATAATCGCACCATAGGATACAGTGCGCTGCGGCCACTCGGGCAGAGACCAGCTGAGTTCGACACACGCCGAACGGCTGACTGATCGTCAACGCGCGTTCCATTGATGAGCGCTGATGCGCACAGAGAGCACCACAGCACTGGGGGCGGCGGGTGAGACGGGAGGGACTGTCGACAAAGGCTCTACAAGACGCTCGTTCACAAACAAGTCCGGCCAGCCGGCGCCGTATCAGACAAGCGTTCTGGAGGCTACTCCACGACGTCGCAAACGCGTCACAAACGTAGTCCGCTGGCACTGCGCTTTGGAAGTCACTGTCTCCTCTCTGACGGCGCACTGCGGGGTCCGTCGGGGGCACGGGCACAGAAAGAACGGCGCCCGGAGGCAAGTCATGGTACCGCGTCATGCAACGCGATGCTTGCAGCCTGCAGAAATGTCTCAATGCCGGCTGATCGGTGCACTCGTCAATACCGCGGAACAGGCCAGAGCAGCTACCGTCGGCTCCGATTGACAGGTCGCAGCGAAAGCCGTCAGCTTCTGGGCACCACAAGCTGGCTGCAAAAGGAAGCGAGGTCAACCACTTGAACAATTTTCTAACGTTTGACATCTGCTAACAGTCGACCGTATACTGCATTTGCGTTTCGTAAAGAGCACATCTCAAAGACAAATTGCTATTTTATCTTTACGACAGCATTTGAATAGGTAAATACGCGACTGAAATGATAGGCACCTATGTGCATTTTACTTAACAGCGAATTGAACCATTGAACAATGTCCTTAGGGATTCCCAAGAAAGTTCTATAGTTTGTATAGCGACAGGCCGGAAAGTAAAACATGAACTAATTAATGGTGGAAAAAAGAACACTATTATACTCGTCAAAACTGTATGATTTCATGCATTGAAAGGGCCGTGCATATGAGAGCTGCAGTAATGCATTACGCACTACGCAGCATACAAGACATTTGCTGCTTGCAAATGAGGATTCCGAATGACGCAAACTTTGGAAATGCTGAAACTTTTCTCGCTGTCTTAAATTTGCAAGACGAGCAGCTCCTCGTTGAATTATCATTTCAATCACCAAGTTGAGCGAAATTACTCGATAAACGGACTGGCTTGTAATAAAATACCAGTACGAAGGTCTTCACAAATAAAACTCCACCAGAGGGACATCGGGATTGCTGAGCACCGACAGTCGTTTGGAAGACTAGTGATGTCGTTTGGCAGGTATAGAACCATCCTGGAGTAGGTTGAGGATGAGTGAGAAATGTCCCAGAGAGCGTAACCGTGCTATATTGGAGAGTAGGGTTTCCGGATTGGCAGTGCTAAGTGATGCAGCCGTATCTAATACTGCGTAAACAACTAGCTGAGCTATCATGTTGGTGTGGATGCTATCCTATCGGAGCAACCTCATGCATCGGATATAAGATGTTATTCAACTGCACTATACATATACAACGACTGCACGATACAAACTAAGGAGATCGTGCAGCTACCTCCGTCGAGCGCGCTATCCATTGATTAAGCAGCTCACTTGATGCAAATGGAGCGGTAATCTATGACGACAAATCATTCGTCGCAAAGGTCACAGTCGGGCAGGAAATGAGATTCGTATTTTCTACTTCACCCGGGCAAACGCTTTATTTATGAAGCCAGGGAAAAGACGGTGTACCTAAAACGCGGCCACGGCCCTGTTCATTTGGCCTTGTTTGCGTCAGAGCCAGCGTCTCGCCGTGCCAAGCGTGCTGCAGAGCAAAACATGGTTCAGACATTCACCATTTTCATATGCGAGCAGCCCAATTTCCGCCCAGAATAGAGTTGTAAGTACTTAGGACGGCCAAGAAATAAAATGTTTAACGATTACATCAATCTGCTACTAAAAAGAAAAATGTGAGGCCTCTGAACAGCTCCCATATTTTTGTTGATGTAGCAATGCCATTCCTTCCGATAACTTACAACTGATGACTGAGTTGTGTTTGGATAAAAAGCTTTACCACTGATCAGACTGGTCTATTATGAGCGGAAGTTTGTTCCATGTAAACAATTGATCAATGAGTGAGTCACCGTAGCAGGCGTGCTGAAACCCATGATGTTACGGACCATGAACCTGGGCGAACGGCTGAAAACACACACGTCACACTCACCCAAGCGTTCACTCACACACAAAAGAGCGAGTGAACAGCGGACGATACCAGAGGTCGTGTGAAAAATAGCAGCGTAAGCAGTGGCAATTAATTTCAGATGAGTGTGCCATGCGCATGCGCTGAAACCGGCAGCGGTCATATAGTGGTAACATTATACTGCAATAAATAAGTTGTCAGCCATGGTAGCAGAGCTAAATTGGTGATAAATTATAATTTGTCATTAGCTCATTAACAGGAACAGAATTGTTGAGAACTTCGGAAGGGTAAAGAACAGTCGATGTTTGGCAATAAGCAAGGCGTGGCTGGTTGCGTTGGCAGTAACAAGCATAGCAGCGGGGCAGTGCCGGAAGCAGCAGGTATAGCACTGAGTTGTTGACAGTTGACAGTGCAGTGTTGAAAGCAACAGGAAGCGTCGCGCTGCAAGCCTCCATGTTCAGGGTGGAGTGCTGATGCGAAAGCGTGTCCATAGTTGGCAGTCAGAGCAACAGAAAAGTTGCTACGCAAATATCAAGTTAGCAACAAAAGCTGTTATATTAGCACAAAGAGCTGCACACTGAATGTTAGCGAACGCGGCAGTTCAGCTACACTACCTTGATTACGTTAGTTTCTTCCAAATGAGGTCGCGGAACAGAGTACAGCTGAGCCGCGACCTCTTGCCGGTGCGGACTGTGGACGGACCGCAGAGGGGGAGAGATGATACTCTATATACCCGACGGGTCAGTGGCACACGCATGGACAACGCTACATATCATGTGTCACCAGCTATAGTAACATGCGCGGTGCCACGAGATCACGTTTACGCACAGCAAAACGCTACAATGTCCTAACTGGGAACCTATAGGTGTGGATATCTTGATATCTAGGTCCAACTAACAGTCCAGTTTCATGCACTCTGTGAAACTAAGGAGTCATACATATTACGCTACATTGCCTAGGAATCAGCGGAAAACGAGCAACACCCGTGCACCAATCGCAACAGTCTATTTAGAATTAGAGCCATACACGGGAAGACGGGTGTCTGCGCTGGCTGACTGGATCCCTGTAGAAGCTCACAGACAAGCACAGAGGGTAGGACAGGTGACAGGTGCAACAGCCGTGACTATCAGCCCTTATTCTGGTTGCTGGGGAGTACTGAAAGCGACGACGAGCCAGTGGATAGCGCTATGGAGGAGTCGAATAAGCGCAGAAGATGCCTATAGATGCCTACGGGGACGAAGCGGATCTAGGCGAGCATCCGCCCTCCGAGAAGCCGATTGCTACTTGGCAGAAGCCGAACTGCCCTCAGCGGCGCACTGGTACCTCGAAGCCACTCCACACGCACTCTGCCGGCGGCGGCCCACCGTTCAGCGGCGCTCTCCGTCCAGGAAGTCCCTCTCCAGGCACATCTCCAGCTCCTCGACATCCTGCGCCGTCTTGGTGATGTCGGCCACCGTCCGCGACACGTCGGCCACCGCCTGCTCCACGTCCTCGGCCACGCGGTCCACGTCACGCGCCACCGTGGTCAGGTCACGGGCCACCTGCTCGGCGTCGGCAGTGATGGGCCCCAGGCCGGCGCTCAGGTCGGCCGCCACGCGCACCGCCTTCGCCGCCAGGTCGTCGGCCAGCCCGTCGGGCCGGTCGTCGGACGCCGGCTGGCGCAGTCCGCCAGCTCGAGCCGGTAGCGAGTCGGTGGCCGGCAGCTGGATGGAGTAGTCGTTGGGTGGCTCACTAGACATGACGTCTTCCAGGGACGTGGTGTCGGCGGGCGGCGCGATACCCCCACTGTGACGCAGCTCCCGCACTGCGAACGGGTAGCCGTGCCGGCGGTGAACGGTCGCCGGCTCCACTGGGACCGCTCCGCGCGGCGCCTCTCTATATCGACGGAGGGGAGGCCGGCCAACTACCACCTGGCACGGCCACGGCGAGCGCCGACCGAGCTTTGTTGACGAGCCCGACTATTCGTAAAAGAACGAAGCCGCAAAAACGAAACTCGCGACACCCGTGCTCGCCAACTCTCTGAAATTGGATCGCTGCCGAAAAAAAAAAACATCGAGGACCGGGTTTTGTCAGGCGAACAGACGGCGGTATCGATACCAGGGACGAGACAGAGGCACACCATTGACATACACATCTGTGCCAGCCCCTTCCCCTCCTCCACTAGGCAGTGACACGGGCACCACGCGTGGAATAAGGCACAATCATTAGGTATACGCAAATGGCACCTGTGAAAGGGATAGAATGAATACCGCTGGGTAACGGCTCACTGATGGCTCACATATACATATGCAGTTGCCGATTGTGCTATTGTCGGGCCTCGTTCATTTCTCACTTTTGGTACAATACACACATGTTGGTAGCTATTACAGCAGTCTAAGCAACTACAGACGTCTTGTCAACATGAAGGTGAATAAAGCCGCTTCCCTGGAAATGAACGGTGACAAGCAATGGGTCGCCTAGCAAAGGATCCGTAAAACACATACGGAACACAAGTCATGTAGAACATAATGCAAGCTATGAGTCGTAATGACAAGGTTCTTTCAAACTATTATGGTGACATATCTATTCCTGTGTGGAGGTCGGGAAACACACAATCTAAATGCGTTTCGAGATAGAGCCACATCCTGATTCGAGTCGCATGGCAACTGGTCATACATTCTCCCCACCGCCCAGAAATGACTGAAAACAAAGGGTCGACCAAAACAAAAGCTTAAAACCATTTTGGCTAAACGTGACCCAAGTAATTCATTCTAAATCCGGTTTGTATACGAGTAATTACGCCTGTCTGGTCACTTACAGCGGTCGCGGTTCTTCTGCAGCTGGTTGCAGACTCTTGCACGAGCGTCGTTGAAGTCAAAGTGCAGTCCGAACTGTAGCAGGTTGGGGTTCTGTTCCACGTACTTTGTGATCTCCATTTCGATTTTGTTCCCCAGCACCTGCGACCTCTGCACAAACACAACAAATAAAATCGTCAGATGTGCTTGAATGCGATAGCATCAAAATTACAGGCCGCTATGGGAAGCCTCACAATGGAAACAAACGGCACGCATAATGATAAAGAGAATTTGTTTTAGATCAGAATTCAAAAGCTCGTGTCCACCCTAAGCTTGAATTCAAGTGAATTCAATTGAAATGAACACTTGAATTTAAATATTTCTCACTTGGTTGGCGGCTCTGAAGGTTTCGACGCTTTTATGCACGAGGAGAGCCTTCACGAGCCTGGCGATCATCGGAGGGCTGATGAAGTTGGACTCGATGCTGAAAAAGAGAGCACGCAATCAGACGCTTGGACAGCATCAGCAGTTAGCGTCATTCGAAGAGTCCTAATGATGACACTCTCAGTAGCAAATAGAAAACACCTATCAAAACCAGTGGCGGCGGAACATCTTCAATTAAAGGGGGGCACTGCCGACTTTTGGTCCCATTCTTTCCATGCAACGCCCATAGGGCGTTGCATGGAAAGGGCTATGTTAAAATGCCAAAATCAAAGGGGGGGCACGGTGCCCCGGTGCCCCCCTCGTTCCGCCGCCTATGATCAAAACCCTATCCACACCGACCACGCACCATGCCCTAGCCGCGGATACCAGCACAACGCACGTCCATCCCGACGGCAACATGATATTATCAAGGCCTTCAAAACCTGTAGCAAGGCCATATAAGACCTGTAGCTGAAGTATCGATCTTTTGATCAGTCAGTTAGTTTAATACTCACCTGATCTCCTTGATATTGGGATTGTTCTCGATGAGCTGGACCAGTTTCTCTGCGTACGTGTCTCCCATGTGGGTGTTGGAACAGAGAAGGCCCTCCAGGCGACTGTTGGCGCTGGCCGCCTCGCACAGCCGGCCAAACTGCTCTTCAGATATCGTCTATAAAGTACAGATTTAGTGTCAACTTACGACATCGTCTGCACGGTACATATTAATTATTATTGACCAGTAGTCCGGTAGAAGATTAGCGGTCGTTTAACTTCTCCAAAGTTGAAATATGCACCGGTGTTTTATGGGGCTCGTATGTGAACCAAAAGTGCAACAGTGCCCTATTCATACACAATATGCATGTTGTTCGAATGACTTAACAACCGTAACAACCGGTCGTAACAACCGTAAGGTAGAGCTTATTCCGCAACACAACAGACCGGCAAGTATAAGTCACAACCCGATCGTTGCCGTCATGAATTTCAAGATAAACGCTTCTACGCTAACTGCGACGAATGTCTATTGTCCAGTTACCTATAATTTGCTTTTGATACATCTATGCATTAAACCGTTCATGGAAAAGTTGGTCAATTTGTGTTTGGTATACATATATATGCTTCGTTATGCCTACCTATACCGCTCTTCAAATAGAACCTAGCGAGTTTGAAAAGCAAACTAAAATGAAAGTGCTGTTTGAAGCTGTTGATAAGCTCTTTCTGAAGAGGCTGGAAGTGTTCCTACAACAGCTTGCAATACTGTAGACCATATCTCCGTGTATTTCCCCGAATATACCTCTCTATCTGCAGGCGTTTCTCGGAAAACAATCCTCTATCAGTAGACATTAGCAGCCGGAGTCAGCCCATATCCGGAGAGGAGGGGAATCGTTTTCCCCATTATCGTTGATATGCACATATAGCTGAGGGTTAACGTGTCCTGGCCAGCCTGTGTTAGACCACAATAGCCGTTTTACTTCTGACCTAATGAAGACCATTGGTTCACTGGTTCACTGTATCCTAGTCCGTATCCGTGTATGTATCCGTGCCCTTATCCATTTCCGTATCCGTGTCGTAAGTCCGTATCCGTGTCCTTAGTCCGAATCCGTGTCCTTAGTTCGTATCCGTGTCCTTAGTCCGTATCCGTGTCCTTAGTCCGTATCCGTGTCGTGTAGCATTGTCTGTGTCTGTATCTTAGTCTTTATTCGTGTCCGTATCCGTGTCCGTGTCGTCCGTGACAGACCAGTGTCCGCAGCCGTGCCCGTATCCGTGTCCGCATTTGTATCCGGAGTCTCATTCGTAGTCGTGCCCGACCTGTACCCGTGCCCGTGTCCTTGTCCGTGTCCGTGTCCTGAGCTGCGGCAGCCGCGTCTGGCACCGACGAACCAGCCGCGCGGGTTGAGCTGACCGAGCCAGCTGGCAGCGGTCCAGCCGGCCGGCCGCGCCGCCGGGCCATATATGGGGACACGGCGAGCTATGTCCCAACAAAGTGCCGTTAAATAGTGGGTGGACTAATTGATAATTCAACATTTGTCAAAGAGGTGGTCCGATCGTTACACTTGAAAACTAGGGGACCAAAGACGCCCCTCCAAGTCCGTTTATCGCTTGCCACCACGTAACGACAAGCGGTAAGCGGAGTTCGAAAGGTTGTATTCATAAATATGTTTTTTTAGCACTCCTGTCATTTTCACTTCCAATCAAAGGTCAGGTCTCCTGAGGCCATCAAAACTCATATGTTCTTTTCATGGTTTTAGAGAAATCGTTTCTCTACATGTTAATTGTTAGCTTATAAGGCTAGATCGGAGAAAAAAAAATCGGAGAAAACAGCATTCGATTATCTTTTCACCCCATGCCGTCACAAGAGGGCATTTTGCATCCTTTTTGGTTGTTTTTTTTTAAGCATAAACTTATACGCCTTGTCCATACATGTGAAAACTTCTGCCGCTTCTCTTCAATCATCAAACGTCAGGCTGGGTGCTATAAATATAATGTCAAGTACCTATCCCTGCCATTACCTGAAAATAGTAAGGGACTCTCTAGCTACTCTGAAAGCTTCGACAACTCTCAGCGATTGAAAACCTCTGAAGGCTAAGCCATTGGCTTGCGGTCAAACTTGATTACATAGTTGAGAAAGAGCTTCAAAAAGCTTAGTGTTTTTCGAGATCTTTCCGAGCTCCTTTCATTTTCATTTGGATTCCTAGATCGGAGACGGCAGATAGATTAAATATACTGATAGAAACAGCTTACAAAAACCCCCACCACGCATATCAGCCCCACTCTGCACTTCAGCCGGATGGGAGCGGTCTCAGACGGCGACTAATCCGGTTCAATCTCGGGTAATCCTCCATGGCAGCGTACCCCATCTGCTGGAGAAGCGCCCACAGCGGGACGACCGCTGCCCGCGGCTGTCTACGGGCCTGCCCTCAGCTGACGACAGCCCAGAGGCGAGCCAAACACACACGCCAACAGGCTAATCTCGCTCTCAACCCGTATCATTATGTTGTTGACCTTTCGAGGGAGTAATATCAGAATTGTTTGCGCCAGAATTACGCGGTTCAATATGCGTTAGGAGGTCCACCTAAGCGGTATTTCCACGAAAATATTTCTAACGTTTATTAACATCAATGCTTCGTTTTATACGCAACTCATTTGTTGATTACAAAAAAAAATATGTCCCACTTTTTTCGTGACCTGCGCGAGCAGATGCAGGTGGTACGTAAAAGCTTGGCAAAAATCTTGCACACAAACACATGCATTCAGCCTTAAAACCAGCTTTAATAAGCAGCTGATTTCACTTTATTTAAATAAGCACAAAAAGAAAAAAATTATCGGCTACAGCGACAACAAAACAAAATTAAACGATACAATAAGGGCTACGCTCCCTTCCATATGTTTGACTTAGTCTGACAGACCGACGCGGAAAGTAGATGCTACTCTCAACTCGATCTGCTCCATACAGTTACAAGGAATCGTGTGAGAACGAACGAGGCTGGCTAAGCGCCTCGTTCATTCAGCTTTGGGGCGCTATCCTCTTCTGCAAGGAGACGATTGTGCAGGAGAATGGGTTACATGGGTGATGAAGTGTTAGATTTTCAGTAATGTGCTATGGTGTCAATTTTTGGGCGTAGACTTACACAGAGAAACAAAATGATGATAACGGCATGTTGGTATAGGTAAGTTTAGGCGTGAATTATGGATTCATTTGCTAATTGTACCTAATTGTGAACGATTAGTTTCGCTCAATAAACTTTTGGTTAGTTAACCCTCGCCCGTATTGGTGTTTTTCCAGGCGCGAACGTAAATAGGTAAGAGCTTCGCAGAAAAACGAGCGTGTTGCCCGTGATGAGAGGAAGCCGATGATACCCAATTTTAAGATCCTGGGTCCTAGGAAAGTTTCGTCGCGATCGGCCGCTTTTTACGCGAGTTATTCGCGAAAAACCGAGGGGGGTCCCTTACGGGCGAGGGTTAATTCCCTAGGTGATTTTTAGAGGTTTGGCATTCAACCACAGTTTATGACGATACTATAATAGTAATTAAACATCAGCAGAGTCCTATCTAACACTCTAAAGTAGCCGCCTGGGGCGTTGCTAAGCCTGTCTGAGCTGATACGTCCATGCGAGTAATTCAACAATGCATACGAGCCATACGGGTGCGCAACGGGTATTCCTATCGCCTCACAGTGTGCAGCCTAAAATATGTTTAGCCGATTACTGGTCATATGATCGCATTTACGAGCTCCGCATTCAAGCAAATGGACGCTGGAATAATAGGCTCACCAATGAAATAAAACTCTGTCTCACAAATGGGCCCGCCCAAATATGACATTAAGCCTTCAGCCTTGGCGTCTGATAAGTCCATCCTGCTGCAATAGCCTGTTTTGGTAAATTAGCTCTTGTGCATGGGTTGTAGTAGGGAGTGGAAATGGTGGCTTCAGAGACATGAGCCCAGAGACAAGGTTTCCAGCGATAGGCAGTGATTGCGTACAACATTAGGCATGTCAGAAACAGTAGTGTTTGCAAGGATATTGTAAAACAGTCGAAATAATTAGTAAGTAGCTTAGCATCCTTACCCGTCTTACAAAATGAGAGTTTGGCAAAGACCAGAAGGCACCGATCATGTCCAGCTCATCTGACCTAGTTTGACCTACCAAGACCAGCCGCTCTCAGACTCGCAGCGCTACAACATGCCAACCCACCTTGACATTGTTGAGGTTGAGCCGGCGCAGTTCCGGGTCGTCGCGTTTGATGCGCTCGATCGACTGCTCCGGGTCGGTGGTGTTGGGCGGCTCGGGCGCCATCGCTTTGGGCCGCGAGGCGCGCGTGATGCCACTCCAGCCAACCTCCTCCGTGTCCAGCTTCTTGCCGAGCAACGAGGCGTGGTACTGGTCCTGGTTCATCATCGAGTGGAAGCCCAGGATAGCTGCAAACGGGAGGGGAGTTAGATATCTAGTAGAAGCCCAGGGTCGTCGCTGACGGCTACAGACGACAGTAAAAGTCGCACGCCGACCGAGCCGAATGTTTCCGGTATAGCTGACACTGGAAAATATAAAACTAAAAACCTATGTGGTGCATTTCACGGCCTAAGCTGCAGGGCTCTGAGGAGAGTCCTGAATGGGATGTGACAACACCTAAGTCATCATTCCAGCCAGTCCTGTCTTTGTTGCTTGAATGGCGGACTCTGTCGTAAACCTAGATGAAAAACCGTTTCAATTTCCATCCACCACGGAACTGGTCATTATGAAACAATACAATGTGTCAAATGGTATTGTTCGCGTATAGTCATTTGCCAGATGTCATCCGGTATCTCGTAAACTGTAATGCACAGCCGTCGCAAAACACAGCAAGCGCCTGTGTATTTGCTTTTATCTTATGCTGTTATTTTCCAATATATTATTTTGCGCTTGTCATAATGCATTGTCATTTTGTCAAGCAAGGGAAAATAAGCACTACGCACTAAGCGGTCATTCCCAATTTGCCATTTTTTCTAAAAGGCTAGGTCAGCTTCACAAGAAGCTGTGGTCGACGTAAAAATTTAATTGGGGAAAAAAAACTGAAAAGACGAACTTTCATGAATGGAACACATCGGTTCATCTCCTCATTATTTTAATAAATTGTTCGACCAAGTTACAACTCAAAAGGTTTTCGTCAACGAGAGAACGGACCAATGCTTTAGATGGCTGTCCAGTGCCCCATTATTAGCTCCTCTGAATGAGTTATGATGCGGTGTTTAGTTCAGCTCAAGCAGGAAAGCTGTTAAACCGCGTTACTAAGAAACACCTCTATGTATAGTGGACTACAGAATATGTTCCACTCTTCAGAAGCTATCAGTTGACCGGAGCGCTAAGTTGTGCCGTTTATCACGCAATTAAGCGTGTCGATTGTGAGCATTGGGACAAAGCTATAATTTGTGAACTCAGCCCGTGTGATGCGGCACGGCCTACCACTTCAGGCAAATAATGTGAAAAATGGAGCATAATTATGTAGTCGACTATACTCTCCAGCTGACAGCTTCCACAAAGGGCTGTCTTCTCCTACCCCGCCATTTCTCGTCATCGGCTCAACTCACATTAGACTTTCTTTTTACTTTTTTTCGCGAGCTAGTGGTTCGATCCCCTTGTCCAGTCAGAAGAATACGTTTTTGACGGGTTGAAAAGCATCGCATAAGGGAAACACTTTCATAATTACTTCCCTGTGACTGTGAGTCTCACCTGCCAGGTCGACCATCTCGCTCTCGGTGGCGTCGGCCAGTGCCGACTCGTACTCGTCCCCCATGTCCAGGGCCACCTGTTCATCGGCTCGCTGCTCCTCGGCCGGTGGCGGTGGTGGCACCCACTGTATCGGACAGACAGGACACGAGTCAGTAGAGATTTGAAAATAGCGGAGATTGAGATAATATGAGTGGTATTCAATGATCACTTCCCGTTAAAACTATCCAGATTGCCGGATACGGAGCAATCAGACAATGGCCCGAATACATGAGCAGAATAAATGCGCTCAAAAACGGATTACGATGCTTAGCGAATAGGAAAATCCGTTCGTGATGCGTATTTATTTGCTCGCGTATTCGGAGTCAGTACGAAGGCACCTGATGATGTGAACGCTTAATAATGCATTTTCGTTACCATGAAATGGCTAAGTATCGAGTGGCCTGGCCCCGACGCTCCAATCCTGTTATGGCTGTCCGTGAGATGCCCACTGCATGCCAGGGAGCTGCTGTGGCCCGTGTGCGTCCCTAGATTGTGGTTCCATCCGTCCCCGGGCACCGTTTAGGCGCCGGTAAACGATCCGACCGCGGCGGTCAGGCGCGCTCTCTACGCTCCACTGCCGTCGAGGGCGGTCCAGCCATCCACAGCGGACGTGTTTGGACTGGCCATGGTGAGTGCAGCCGTCAGATACGGACCGACCCGGCCGCCTCAGCAACCCACGCCCATCGGTACACCGCGCTTTGAGAGAATGTGTCAGTCCGCAGGAGGCAGCGACTGTCAATTTGAATCTACTACGCAGCGTTTGGAGCGATCTGCAGACGGAGTTGGCCGACCGGCGCGCCGTGCGGGCGCCTGAGGTGCCAGTGGTGCGGGCTTCCGCCGGGAGGAGAGGGGAGTGGGTCAACAGTCTAGTTGGAGCGATAATATCTTCGGGAAAAGGAGAGATGCAAAAAAAGAAAACTACCACATGATGAATGCAATGCGTAGTACATAAAGGTCTGCAGGGAGCAGCGTGGGCGGCTGGCCACCAAAAGTGTATCGTTTATCGCAATCTAAACGGTGTCAAGAGACTGTTATAACCATAATCTAGGAACACGTGAAGGGAACTGACTCTCAGGCAGATATTGGTTATAATTAACTACCAATGTTAGTTATGACATTGGTCGGATACCAAATTAGGTTACGCTGAGATGAGAGAGAGAGAGAGAGAGAGAGAGAGAGAGAGAGAGAGAGAGAGAGAGAGAGAGAGAGAGAGAGAGAGAGAGAGAGAGAGAGAGAGAGAGAGAATCCGTGCCGAGTGCAAACATCGCACGCAATGGTTCTAGGATTGCCAATAGCTCTCTGCCCTTAGTCCAGTGATAACAGAAAATGTATCCCCACCAACTGATGGTATTTTCTGACCAAACATGGAAGTTCCGTAAAAACGTCCATAGATGAGGGTAATTTCCGAGCCACATTATGTGTATTGGGCGTGTTTGCGTGCTTCTGTATAGGTGCTGCATGCATTTTCTTGTAAGCTTGCACGCGAGTCACTGGCTGAGCCGTTTATCTCCATGCACGTTGCATAACTCAAGTGTCCTTGTCTAATTTAATTTGCGATCGAGATAACATAACATATTCATTTATCCAGTGCAAGCGCAAGAAGGTGAATTTTCCCACGTGGCTACCAAATACGTTTACTGATGCTGATGCATTCATGGAATCTAAACGTCCATGGTAGCTAGGCTTACATTTACTGTTAGCATTGATCTCGAGCAAACATGCTACATCCGGATATTGAACATGTTGCTAGTTGATCCTGGTGTGGTACAGCGCGTAGAGTAGGCTAACAACGGCTCACCCGAACCTAACTCAGCCGTTAACTATGTCCCTACATGTACCCCGAGACAGCCGGAGCTTATTGCCGACGGTTATTACGCCGACGGTTATTGGTCTCTCTCTCTCTCTCTCTCTCTCTCTCTCTCTCTCTCTCTCTCTCTCTCTCTCTCTCTCTCTCTCTCTCTCTCTCTCTCTCTCTCTCTCTCTCTCTCTCTCTCTCTCTCTCTCTCTCTCTCTCTCTCTCTCTCTCTCTCTCTCTCTCTCTCTCTCTCTCTCTCTCTCTCTCTCTCTCTCTCTCTCTCTCTCTCTCTCTCCCTCTCCCTCTCCCTCTCCCTCTCCCTCTCCCTCTCCCTCTCTGTCTCTCTCTCTCTCTCTCTCTCTCTCTCTCTCTCTCTCTCTCTCTCTCTCTCTCTCTCTCTCTCTCTCTCTCTCTCTCTCTCTCTTCCTCCCGCTCCGTGACTGACCTTTTTACCGCGGATGGTGCCGGGCTCGTAGGGGACCAGCTCGGGTCGGTCGGGCTCCGTCATCGCCTGTTCGTTGATGTGATCGATGAGCTGTTTTCTGTTCAGAGGCCCCGTGGCCGACTTGTCGCACCGATAGGATGTCCGTTGATCGGGCGGCATCAGGGAGTCCTGTGGACAGTTCAAAGGGACACAGATTGGTTAGTTAGTGGCGATAACTAGGTATAAGAATGCGCTGGCAGATAGTTATCTCGCTTTGAAAAACGGCTTTATAAATGAAAAGGAAAGTCGTGATGAGTAATGGTTGCAATCGGTGACCGGGGCTGGATATCGTAGCAAATAAGCAAAATGGTCACGGGGGTCGGAGTGGTGGGAAAATTCGGCAATCTTACGATGAGACATAACGTGGTAATCGGGGAAACCTCGACAAACCCAAGCCGTTATTCGAACCACTCTGTGAAATGAAAACGTTGCGAATCAGAATAGTCCTGTTGGTGTGCAGACAAATAATCATAATAATTTTGGAAGGCCAACTGGATAAGTTACTTTAGAAGGTATGGTGCGTGAGGCCAACATATCGGTCGGCGCACTTAATCTGATGAGTTTGCTGGCTTGTCGATATTTCCATAAATCTTCTCAGCTGGCTAGATCTAATCCAATTGGCTCATGCATAATGATTTTGGGCACAAAGTTTGTGCGCCTGAAATGCAAAGTTATGAGGAGAAACAACTTAACTTCAACGCATTTTGAAAATGTTCAGAGAACTTCTTGAGATCCTTAGACAGAGCACGTCTCAATTCGATGCAATTTGGCCTAAAATGCCTGTTGCAAGAGAATCGAATTGTGCGCTGTGATTAATGCCCTAAAACAACGTTTTAAATTACAATCATTTTACCTAAACAACTAAGGAGCACGATACAAATCGAATAACGAGATGCTTGAGCAAAATGCACGTTTTGCATATGTGCTTGTGCATTGCACTCAAGAGCAATGACTGGATAAAATTTGGTAATGTCACACTCATCATCACTTTGGATCCTTCCTCGTTCTGGCTCTGATGCGCTAAGAAGACTGAAAAACGGCCGACTGAAAACTTCGCCACATAATCTTTTAAACAGGTGGTAATTATTCGGTAGGTAGGTGTATATTTTCAGCAAGAAAGTTGTGCCTCTCGTTTATCACACAAATCTAGAATGGGATAGGTTGAAAAGGTTAATGCAATCTGCAAAATAAAAAATGACCTTCGTAGATGTTAAAAATGCTATACTCGAATGCTATTCTGCTGTACTGGTAAATTCATGACATTTTCTTTGTACAGTACGACACACCTATGTTGGATTGGGCACTTCTGATTTTTTAGAAGAGTGTAAGCTTAGCCGTATAATAATCTCGCCCATCATCCGTCAATTGCCTTATAACGTATAGCGTAATATATCCGGAGCGTAACGGGATCAATAACCAGTACCATATATTGTATGAAGCTAGCAAGTCACAAATGGGCTAAGAATTAAATAGGCTATTGCAACCAACAAATTGCACCATGCCTTTATTGATGCAAGGATCTTGGTCTTTTCACCCTCTCTTGGACGATCTTATTGTTATTATTTTTGTCATTTTACCTTTTCTTGGATTTATGGAATTTAGCATTATTAACTCGTATGATGACTTAATCAGTCCTTAATGTGACTCGTGTGGTCGGCTACCCAACAAGGAGCGTACGCTTTGAAAAATAATAAATTAGCAAAAATATATGAATTTCAGTGCCTCTCAGAACATAACGCCTATGTTCTTGTCCATCGGCCTCTCAGTGAAGCGATATACTCATAGAAGAGCACGTGGACGTTAGATATTAAGCTGCCGTACATACGGCTGATTAAGGAGACTGATAACACTGATAGCTGATAGAATCACCTGAGAAAACTACGGAACACCGTTGCTGGCTTATTTTTAGTATAGACTGTGAAGCCGTTTGATCGGCCACGTGCGCTAACCTAACACCAGTAAAGGCGTCCAGGCATCTCTATGGCGCTGTTTGATCTCTGTCCGCTTAAACGTTTTAGCTGTATTCTGCGCGCTGCCGCACCTTTTACCTACCAGTGTGTCAAATAAACCACTGCCAAACATTTACACTTTAAACTCTTTATTTACAATGTTATAGCAACAACAACCAAATCACGCAGCATAGAATCAACAAACGTTACTTCAGTATCCATACTGATCAGCCAATCACGTCAAAACATAATTAGGTACTAATAAAACAAATTTAAAACATCAGAGCAAACTGCTGTATCAACTATGGGGGCCAAATCTATTGCTTGTCTATCACCATGGACAGGTGTCACGATCTTCAACATTTGTCCATCAAACGGTCGGCTTGCTGCTCAATTTGTAATGGGCTACTTTTCAATCAACTGCCATTTTGACACTAAATGGGCCGAATCTAGACGCTCTTCTGTGTTGTCATCTCCGCGTGTCATGTGAGTACAGAGGTGTTCCGACTAGAACTGTCAGTCTATTGCCGGTGGCAGTTTGGCTTTCTGACGGGCTTTCTGACGGAGGCGTGGCTTTGTCGGCTTATAGCGGTTACCAGGGGTGTATCTGAGTTCAGAACACTGCTCTGCTCTTGAGGTAAATCTGAGTTCAGTGCCCTCGCACGCTGCCGTACCTATGTGTATCTGACCGCAGTGTCGTGCTCCTATGGCCGGTCGGGTCGAGGTGGGTATATATTTGATGCTGTTCCCTTGCCAGCAATAACATCCCCGGGTAAAACTGGCCTCGGCTGCCGCCGGCGACGGTCAACAGAGCGCTGTCTCATCAGACGGAGCCGCGCCCGCCAGCATCAGACGCGCAACAATCGGCTCCCCGTCCCATCTTTACCGCTCAGCCGACCTGATTTCCGAGGCACAGAGCCACGATCCTCGATATATAGGGGCAGACTCTTTTTTATGGCTCACCACTTCTCAGCACAACAATGCCACAGCTGAAAATCCTCTAGATTGGCATGCACTATTAGATTATTGATATTGATTGAGAAGATCATTGATCAGTGGCGCAGCCAGGATTTCGTTTCGGGGGGGTCATCGCTTCCAAAGCGGGCCCCCTAGTGTGCGGGCCCCCACCCATTTTTCAGAATCTCTCCATATTTCATACGCATTCTGCTGGGCTTTACCTGCACGATAACCCTGAGCGAGTTTGAATCAGAAAATTTGCATAGAACAGTAGCTCGGTAATCACCCGGTCTTCACTTTTTACGCAAATTGACCACGACAGAAATATGTTACTATGACGTATGACTTCGTATCTTTCGAGTCCGATATGAGCCCCAATTCCGCAATATGCATAGCATATTATATGCAATCGGAACTGTTGCCTGCTTCTGTCGCACAAGATTTAAAAGTAGTCCCATGTGCCTGTCCTAAGTCATCTATTGGCTGCTGTAGTAGATTGTGCTTTTATTCTTCTTCATTACGTGAATTCGCTCGTAAGAAGTTTTAACCCTCGCCGGCACAGGGGGGAGGGGTTGATGCAACCCCCTAAGGTTTTTTTTTTCGCGAAGAACTCGCGTAAAAAAGCGGCTGATCGCGACGTAACTTCCATAGTGCGCTGAAATTCGCGCAACTTATAGAACAAGGATGGATTGGGTAACGTGCCTGTGAAGAGTCACAGCTCGATCGGGCCGGTGGTGAGCACATGGCGCGTGCTCAAAAAGTGCAAATTCGCGTCATAGACTTTACATGCATAAATCGGCTTGCAAAAATTGGCGACAATGGCTCAACTTGCCCGACACGGGTCCGGTCCCCGTGCAGTATCTCGGTAACCGTGGGTCCGATCGGCACGAGGAACACAGTATCGTGCATGAGAATCGAACGGGCTATCGAATGGTGTGCGGTGCAGGGATGGCACGCGCCACGTGCACCCGTGAGGGCACTTATGCTTGAAAAATTGACGTTTTGGACGGATTTTGGACTTAATGCTATTTTTGGGTGACTGTCAGACGGAGCGGGTTCAAACAACGCTTGTTGGCAAGAGAAATGTACCTACCGCCTCTCATGGGAAAATTGTGAAAAGCTAATTGATCAAAAACAAGGTGGAACAAATTGCTGGAGAAAATAGCATTTGCTTATGACTTACTTCATTACAGGGGTTTTGCTACATAACCTGGTATGTTTGACAATTGAAATGGGCATAGATTGGAAGAGCATTCAATTGTGACCAAGGTCCAATCATCGCTTTTGCATGACGAGCAACAATATTCTTAAGAATATAAATGTTTCAAACCTCTACATAGTAATTCATCGATGGCTTTCACTCTTCAATAACCTACGCCAACCTATGTCATGAAATACACTTGGCATGTTCTATAGTAGAACGCATGGTTATTATCAGACACGAGCACCTCGATGCGATGGATATTTTTTCCCAAAACCAAAATGCTTAGCCGTCAAAAGGCAATCGACCGTAATGGATACATAACCCACAGACACAAGACCAACCAAACGCCCACCGATCGAAAATGCCCCTTATTCGCGTTGCGAAGCAAGCGGGTCACCCTAGCGGGCCCCATTCACCCGGGGGCTCGGGCCCTATCCACATGGGGGACCAAGCCCTATCCATACGGGGGCCCGGGCCACGTTCACTGGGCTCCGGGCCTCGTCCACCCGGGGCTCCGGGGCCCGCCCACCAGGGGGCCCGGGCCCCATCCAGCCGGGGGCCCGGGCCCCGTCCACCCGGGGCCTGGGGTCCGTACTCCCGGGGGCCCGGACCCATCCATCGGGGGGCCCTGGCCCCATCTACCCGGGGGGCCGTGCCCCATCCACCTAAGGGGCCCGGGCCCGTTCTCCCGGGGCCCGGGCCCCATCCACCCGGGGGCCTGTGCCCTATCCACCCAGGGGCCCGTGCCCTATCCACCCAGGGGGCCCGGGCCCGTTCTCCCGGGGCCCGGGCCCCATCCAACCGGGGGTACGGCCCCGTCCACCCGGGGCTCAGGGCTGTTCTCCCGGGGGCCCGGGCCCCATCCAGCCGGGGGCCCGGGCCCCCTCCACCCAGGGGGCCCGGGCCCGCTCTCCCGGAGCCTCGGGCCCCATCCACCCGAGGGGCCTGGACCCGTTCTCGCGGGACCCGGGGGGTCCGGGCCCCGTCCACCCGGGGCCCGTTCTCCCGGTGGCTCGGAT